TCTGTCAAACTACTGCTCTGGTAATGCCATGACCATTATCATTACAACCACTACTGCAGCCACAGAGGGACACACACACACTACTGCCACCATTACTACTCTGACTACTACCATCACTACCATTGCTATTAATATAACTAATATTGATACCACTACTATCACCATTACCACTACTCCTCATAGTATCACTACTATCACTGCTACCACCACCACTACCACCACCATCATCAAAAAACTCCTCTTTTTTTGCCTCTTCTTCCTCCTCATATTCCTTAATACAACTATTAATGCTACTTCTGGTTGCATCCAGGTGGACCAACATCTTGGCTCATTTACATGGCAACACACTTAGAATTGTAAGCTTGTAAGCCTGGCCCACTTGAACATTCTTGTGCAGTATCAAGGCTCCTGATTTTCTTTATGCAATTTTTTAGCTCTTTTTCTGCCTGAGCCTTCTTTGTGTTTTTCTTTCCATTTTTCAAATAAAGAAATGATAATAGACTATTTTCCTTGAGAAGACTACATATTATCTTTAGGTCTATCTCTGTGATATAATAATAATAATGATGAATTACATTTTGTCATTTGTGTCATTTTTAGATATTTTGTATTATTCAATTGGTATAGTTTCAGTTTCACACAGCCTTGTAGTACAAAGTAAGCTTTGGTATTTACTTCTCAAGTTTATACATTTACAGGAAAGTTTAATAACATTATCATAAAGAAAGGTAAAAACTACAGTCATTGATACTTGAAATAATCTGTCCAAGTAGAGAATAATGTCAGAAATAAAAAAGCTAGGTTGCTACTAATGCCAGTGGTGAATCTATGGAGATGGGGTAGGGAGCCTGAGACGGATCCATCGCTCTCGGGTTAGGAAGGTTTTTGTATCATAAGGTGATGTAATAGTAACTTAACATAGTAGTGGTGCTATCAGATGGTAAACAGTTAACAGTTTTTTCATTTGTATCATTTGTGATGGAAAGCATCAGCAGGTTCATGCTCATTGCAATGTGAATTACTAAAACAAGAAATGATTATTGTAAAGTTGGATGGCTGTGTGAGACTCAAAAATTACCATTCAGTTTTCTGTAACACTCTGCACATCATAGTGGACAGGAATGAGATCCAGAGTATGAAAATAATGTCTTCCAAGAGTCCTATCTTAAAGGTCCACCGAGTGTCTCATGAAGAGTCACTCCTATCATGGTGATTTGAGCCAAATTTTCCAAGATGACACAATCCCATCATCCCAGCAAATAGCCAGATTTTTTCATGATGGCATATTCCTGTTACCTGGATCTGGTAGATAATTATGCTTGCTGCCAGTACTATTCTTGCAATTACTTTTTACAGAAATATCAGGCATTAGTACAAGTATATCTTTAGGCTATACTTCCCAGTATTTTTATCATTGCCTAATTCTTCTCTTTTTACCTCCAAAAGGAAGCAACATCTCATGAAGGAAGCAAGGCCACGCGTGCCATCTTCCTACGAAATGGACTGGTCTTTACCACTGGATTCAGCAAGAGATCAGAGCGACAGTACTCTCTCCGCGCCCCAGGCCACCTCGATGACCCCATCACAATGGTAGAGCTGGACTCTTCCAATGGTGTAATGTTCCCTATGTATGATCCAGATTCTAACCTAGTTTTCCTTTGTGGTAAGTATTGGTAAATTCAAATAGTTTTTTTTAATGTTAATTCATTGTCTAATGAATTGATTTTTAAAAATTGGATTAATTCAGCAAACAATGTAAGATCAATTGAATCTATGATTTTTTTTTTTGATGGAAAATTTAGTGTAAAAGAGCGAGCCTTGTGTGTCATGTGTACTGAATACACAATATTTCTTTTTCAGGCAAAGGTGACAGTGTTATCCGTTATTTTGAGATCACACCAGAAGTGCCATTTGTCCACTACATCAACACCTTCCAGTTACCAGATCCACAGCGAGGTATTGGCATGATGCCCAAACGAGGTGTTGATGTCACCACATGTGAAATCACCCGATTCTACAGGCTCAACAACAATGGCTTCTGTCAAATCATCACCATGACAGTGCCAAGAAAGGTATAGAGACAGATTTGAGTTCTAGACAGTGTTCTCTGTACCTCTAATAATTTAATTATATATGTATATATATGTATATAAAAATCTATGACTATATATGAATATATATATGAATATTTGATGTATATGTATATTCATATGTATATATGTATATAGATATGCACATGTATATGCATATATTATATGAATATGTATATATGAATATATGTATGTATATGGATTGATTGATCTATCTATCTATCTATCTATCTATCTATCTATCTATAAATTTAATGAATGCAGTTTCAGTTATTAACCCATTTGCCCCATGTGGTAAGAATACATGGCATGCCCACTGTTATTCACATTTATTTGTTGTATTTACACATAGATGGCTCTACAAGTTCTTAATCACCAAATAGCCAATTATCAGAACTACCTATCTCACCTGTTTACCCTTTTCCTTCACTCTAAGAAAGTTTCTTGTATCATTTCATTGTTTAAAATATTTTATGACAATTGGATAATCATAACATCAATAACAATAATAAAAGTATCAATAGTAAGGGTATTAATAAGAAAAACACATTTTCCCACCAGTTCAAGGAATGGGGAAATCAGGATCAGGAACTAGGGCCTACTGATAGACTCCTTGCAGGCTGAGCACATGTGGAGCCATCTGCATGTGACAAAATTCACCATAAACTACAGGGGACAGAACATAAATCTAGGGCAAATGGGTTAAGATTTCGGAACCTCTCAGAAAGATCTTGAAATGAATGCATAATTCCTGCTTGGTAATAAGTATTACATCCTGACAAGTACTAAGGACTTGCTAATGCATGTTATTTTTCCTCATTTGCAGTCAGAGTTGTTCCAAGAGGACTTGTACCCAGATACCCCAGGAGATATTCCAGCAGTGTCTGCAGAAGAGTGGTGGGAAGGTGTCTCAAAGGAACCCATTCTCATGTCATTAAAAGGTGGGATTTCATTTCTCATGAAGTTCAAATAAAATTTACTAGTATATTGGTATGATGATGAAAGCTCTCAATTATGCAAGTCATAAGCTTGTGCTGCATGAAAATTATTACATTTAATGATACTTCAAAAACTTGGATAAGACAACTTGGAGCTGAAGGAATATATGATAGCAGAATGCAAACATTGACTTTGAATATTATATTTTTATTGTGTATGGAATCCCATGAAAAATAAGCTAAAATGTTACTGGCCAATTCACAGATGGGTATCAAGCCACACAAAAGTCTGAGCTCAAAGTTACCAAAAAGAAGACCAACATCTTAGATAAGATGCCGCCCACTGGGAAAGTGAAGTCTGAAGAAGATGGAAAAGCAGTTGCTGTTTCTACAGAAGCATTGGAGAAGGTCAAAGAGGTAAGTGAAATGGTTTCTCCACAGCTTGTTTTTCATTAACCCTACAATGACAGTACCAGAAATCTCTGGGTGTCACTCATTCCGGTGACTTCCGCTACATATAGCAGAACTTCCCGCCCGACTCACTGTAACATGTGCCTATAGCCGTACCCATCATAATAAGTTGTTTTTTCATGATGGCTATAGGTGTGCCTTGCTCTAAGAGGTTAAGGGAAGTTGAGCAATTAGGAAGTATTGGCCAGTGCCCAGAGGATATGGATTTAAATTGTGTGTAATAGGTTCTTGACAGAGATGATAATTTTAGATTGTGTGACTTTTTATTGCTGAAAATTAAATTGTGATTGGTTTATCTAAACTATCTTGTAAAGTACATTGCACATGGTTGTTCATAGGTTATACATGTTTATTATATATTTCATATTTCATCTGTTAATAATGAGTACCTTGTTAGGTCACCAAAGTCAATGATGACTTGCGGAAGAAGATTGATGAGTTGCAGTCAGAGATGAAGAAGTTCAAGGCAGTGTTCTTGAAACAAGAGAATCGCATTAGGGTCTTGGAGACCAAGCTCGGAGAGCTGACTTCTACTGGCGCACCCCAGACTCAACAGCAGGTCAGTCTTGTGACTAGGATCACTCAGTCAGTTAAAAGTTTTGCTGTAAATATGATCTTTATCATAGTCTTACTGAATGTACTGTACTACTATGCAAGATATTTGCTGGGGTACTAGGTAGCTAGGGCAGAATGTGAATTGGCTCTTTGTGAAGAGGACTTGTATTCCAGTGTACATAAATTAATTTTATGTGGTCTGGATGACCGGCATAAAAGTGTGCATTTTAGATATATGTAGGCTACATTTCCTATAGGAAAACAGTATATTCACAGAAACCCCTGTTGAATCCTCTTTTTATAAGGATCACTAGAGAAAATAGTACTATTCATTAGAGGGTCACAATTATATGAAATTATGGTTACAATAGTCTGAAAAAAGAACAAAAAATATATTAAGGTGCATATAGCTGTAGTGGTGATATTTATTATGAAAAAATCAAATGAGTGAACACAAGGTGAGTTAGTCAAAATTATCAGCCACAGATCAATAACATCTCCTAATTAATCAGTCATGCTTCAGAACAACACTGTAAATAATATTTTGGGAATGAGACAAGCAGTTCTTTTGTCACTATTTTTGTTTCCATTTAGAGAAAAAGATATAATATACTCAGAAAAAAAAACTATTTACTTACATACTCATTACTCTGTTTTGATTAATATTCTCTCTTAAATTTATGTCTATATACAGGACTAACCAAGGGTAAAGGTAGTTAATATTTTATTTCACTTTTGTCACACTACTAATATTGCATTGCTCTCTTATGTGTTTTTCTTTCTTTCTCACCAGCAGGTATTATATCCATACAAGACAATTGCTCTTCCATAGGCACTGTATTTTTCATTATTATTATTTTATTATTACTTGCATGGTATTTTGGGCTGAAATTTAAGATGCACCAATGTGTGGCATGTTTTTTTTTTTTCTTTCTTTCTTTCTTTACAGTTATCAAACAGAGCAACATCATTTTTTTCCACACTTTCTTCCGTTCCCTTCTTTTTTTTTTATTACATTTTGTTTTTGTCCTGAAACAGTAGTTCTCTCTAGAATAATGAAAGCAAATTCTGTGCTGTTCTACTGACATTCTGACCCACATTATTTTCTGCAGTTCATAGCAGAGTTAAAATTGGTTTGTTCTTTGTTTTCTCATTTTAAGAGTGGTATGTCTCTAAATGTACTGGGATTTTCTGTTGATTTTCCTTACCTTTCGTAGTATTCAATTTCATTCTATCATGCAGTTGTCTCCGTCATAGGTAGTTCTTTCCCCTAGACCCTTCCGACCAAAGTGAGAAAAACCTTGGTAATAGATCTAGATCAAGTTCATAGCATCTCATTCTTGTTGTTAGATTTTGCTTCTGGGTTGCAAAATAGCCTTGTTGCATATTATCCTCGTGTTTGGCACACCCTTTGTTGATGTTGAGTATTAGTATAGTATTTATATTAGGAAATAGGTGTGTGCTCACTCTGGTTTTAGACCATTGGATATATTTCATGGCTTCAGGTGGTTGGAGTGATTAGTGGTTGGAGATACAAAAGGAGGATTGTCTTTGTGCTCATACCAAAAGGGAATATTCCTTTAAAATCACAGGGATTCATGGGCAGGGGACACCAGTTTGATCAAGCTGTGATATCTTGACTGTGATGTGAAAGGATGCAATTGCATAAAGTTTTGTGCATTTAATGTTGTTAGCACTTTGTGTCATATGGCAGAGAAAAAGTAGGAATGGTTTAAGAAACATGTCATGTGTCTGCCCCTTGAAGTATTAGGATGTTGACCCTGATTTTTAGATATGATCATGAAAAGAAAGATTGAACTACATTTTTTATGTATTGCTGAGATTGTTGCATGCAAGTAAAATCCAATTTGCCAGAAAACAAGAAAACTTTGATTGAACTAGTTTATGTACAAAGTAGATACTAGAATTACAGTTATGCTTCAAATGTTGCAGTATATCACCATAATCCAGTCATGCCAGTTGATCTTATCACTTCATGGAAAAAGTGTCACTTACTTTTGGTGATGTCCAATGATGTCATGTGTAGTCAAGCCTGCTCTAACCCCACAAAACTAGGCTTAGAGCTTTTTAGCCTCATATTCTAAATAACTGCATATGAAACAGCCAAGTGGCTGATTATGCACAAAGTCTGGTCTTCTGTGTTTTAAAGGAAAGGTAAAAGGTCATGGAGCCTTCCATTATTTGTTAAAACATTACTTGCTTTTGAAACAAGAATAGTATATTGTGAGCAAATGGGAAAGATTTACTAGTATCTGTTGCTCAACACTGAAGTCCAGTAAAGAAGAAAACGGAAAAAGATGGTAGAAAACGTGTTTAGTCTGGACAGCAGTATTGTGGCCCGGTGTGGTCAGCATGTTATTCTTTGAAAGGTTTTGGCCATCCTTGTTAAGAAAAATGAGTATGTGTTAGGCCAAGTAGCATATTTAAGCATGGATGATTTGGTCTTCCCTTTATCATGCATGTCAAATGGATGCCTGATTCCATAATCCAGCATAGAATTGGCAGTTTATTGAGAGAACAGACTGTTTTTGATTTTTGTGAGGGAGATATGATTCCTTTATCTCTTTTATACCTATGATTTTTTTTTTTGAAGTTTTGTTTTACCCCTGGAAATTTGTAACCACACAGTGCTCATTGGCTATCACCATATTGCCTCTGATGTATTGAACTACCAGATAGTAGTGCCCTTTTCTTACATGGAAACAACACATGTCAAACCCTATCCTCAGTTGACTTGCAATTGACATAAAAATGTATTCCAGGTTAAAAAAGTGCACACTAAGAACGTTAAGAAATAATTCGGAGGTCAAAAATTGGAATAGTGACATAGGTAAGAGATACCTTACTCTGGTGACTTCGAGTCTTGCCTGTCCATCTGAACCATGTGTTGAGGGGGTTGTTTGTCATTTGCTTGCATGAATAAGGGTCAAGCAGATTGTTGATATTTAATTAATTTGGTTATGAAGATATTGGATTTTGTTTCCTTATTAACATTTTTTTTTTATCTCCCTCTTTCAAAGTTATTATTATTTTTTTTTCCATATTTGCTGTGAGAGTAGGTTTCACTGTATTATTGGCTGTGAAATAAAGAAAAATAAATGCAATGTTCATAAAGTGGATAAGAAATTCTGAAAGAAGTTGAGAATGCTTGTAATCTTCTTTTAAGAAAATCATGAATACAAGAGGAAAAGAAATATTTCAACAAAAAGCTTGGAGTCTTAGATACAGATATAATTTAAACTATTCTGTCGGGTACTGAGTTCGCAGTGTGTGCTCTTGTAAAGTCAGCATGAAACATTTTTAGTAGTTTTTTTCTTTCCTTTCCTCTGAAAATATAAAATACTGCACGTTGTTTGAATCCTTGTCCTTTACGAGAAATCCTAGTGAAGTTTTTGAGTTTGATATCGATGTGCTTCTGCACCAGCTTTGTTATCTTGTTGATTCAGGACTAGGCCTGTAGGCTGCAAATAGTGTTAGTTTTTTTTTTTTTTTTCCTTTTTAACCCATTGGATCCATATGCTTCATGGCAATCACAAAGTCCAAAATACGGGCATTAGGCTTACATGAGTGGCCACTCTGGTGGGTGCACAGCTTGTAGTTGCACAAGAACCCTCATGTGTGGTGACAAAGCTAGAGTCTATGCAATATTATATTTTCTTGTTATGCGTAGGTGTTTTTTTTTCACCATTTTCCAATGTTCATGTTTCTCTTTTAATTTGCTTTATCCAGATGGTTATAGAATGTTTTTCTTGCACAGGCTCATATCATATCTCTAGGTAGTCCATAACTCAGTGCAAGAATAATAATGACTAACTTTTTGTTATTTGTATAATAATGTTTTGTTTTGTTATATTCAATTTTCCATAATAAGAAATAGGATGCTGAGCATGGAAATGGCCTGAGCTGGCACTCTTCCAGTCATGGCCCAGACACTAGTTTATCGAAGGAAATAATGTATAGGCCCCTTTCTAAACACCAAATGATTCTAATCTTCCTCCAAGGTGTTTGTGCACTCATGGTGAATCTTTCCTGTCTCCCTGGCCTTCAGCCGAAATGCTCACAACGACAGGTTTGCATCACCCTGGTTCACTGCCAGATTTTCCCTTGCTTGTATGTTCGTATCACCTGCCCCCCAAGCCAAAATTTTTCATGGTGTGATTGTCATGTCATCTGGATCATTGGGATTAATCTTGGCATATTCTTTAGTATATGAATGCCTCTAGGCTGCATTTTAAGTGTACTTAATTTGTTTTACAATTCTTTATAAATAAGAGTACATCAAGTACAGTATATATATTAGTTCATAATTAGCCCTCCTTGGAGACTGATGCTAGTCAGTGTGATGTCTGTTCCTCAAGTATGCTATCAGTATTTTAGAAGTTTTAGTTTATTATTGATTTTTTTTTATTTTTGCCTGTTTGTTTTTGGTTTTGTTAGTAGAACATAGAAGAATGCTTTGGCAGCAGGAATTAGGTACTTCTGCTGGAAAGAATAGTGCATTTTTCAAGAGCATCAGATTTTGGTTGTGGGTAGAATCAAATAATATACTAGGTTAAGTGATTTTAGAGGGAAGAATAGTTTTCCTAGAATAATTTTCTGGCAAGAATTGAGATAATGGTATTAAAAAAAAAAAGTAAGTCATTCTCAGATTGTAATCACCTTCTGTTAATATTTTCTAAAATTGATATGTAAATCCTTACATGTTTATGATATGATCATTAATAATCTGAATTTAGGCAACCTTTTGTCTCCTTGTATATATTTACATAACATGAAGGTAAACTGAATGCCCAATTTCAGTTACCACAATAGGCTCAAATGTATTTTGTCAGGGAAGCGCATAGATAAATCACTGAGGATGGAGTCGTTAAAATTAGGAAAAAAGATCATATTTAGAAGTGGTATCGTATTTAGGATTTGCATAGGATTGTGGTAATTATTTGGTGCTGAGATCTCTTCATTCGAGATTATGCTATGATCATGTAGTGTGTCTTGTCGAAGCAGCAGGTGTGACCTTTTAGATTATGCTTTTTCTTTTGTAAGTATTAGACATTATTATGTGTACAGCAATACAATGCTAACTGGGTGGTTTAAATAAGGAACTTTGACAGCAACTGGAAATTGTTCTAATTATTTAGAATTAACTACAACCTTTTTGAAGGTTTTGACTAGATACTTAGATATATTTGTAAAACATTGATTTTGTGTCAGTTTTATAGGCTTCTTTGAAAGGTATTCCTGAAACAGGTATTTGATCCACCTTTTTTAAATTTGATGGTGTGTGATGGTTAGATCTTTTGTTTTCTTTCTTTCTTTCTCTTTGTTGAATTGAATCTGTTATTAAATTGGATTTTTTTTTCTTGACGCTGTTCAGTTGGCAATGTTGATAAGTAATATTGTTGGAACGTTTTGTGTTGGTTTAAAAATCAGTTAATTTATCAATTACACTTTCTCATAGTTGCTCATATAACAATTTTGGCATAGAGGGATATACAAGATTCAAATAACCCCATAAAGGAAAAATGTAACACTGACTTGTGTTTTGGATACAGCAACAGAGGAATTTCCGGGTTATAGGGTGAGAGTAGTAGAGGCATTACATTACATAGTAAAAAAAACAAAACAAAAAAAAACAAACTAGGATATACAAGACAGGTACAGAAATAAATCTTGCAACAGGGTTGTTGAGTTATACATTTACAACCTTGTGTGACTAATTCATCTGTAATTTTATGCAACTAATATAAACAAAATATGGAGAAACTCAACCTTTGTAAACACAAGTGCTACTAATATGATCCCAGTAAGAGTTGTGGCTTATAAATGGGTAATGCAGATTATCTTGTGCAAAATATTAATATCAGATGCTTTTCTTATGAAATACAGGTCTCCAACCTGCTATTTTATATGCTTTCTGCTGCATTAACTACTAAAAGTAGTTCTAGTGTTAAAAAGGTGGATATATTTTTTTTTTATTATTTTTTACCTACATATCATTACTATTATTTTTAGAAGTAAATTTTAATCTAGAGTGCGGTGCAGTGATATAGTGATTTGGCTTGTTTTATAGGTATTTGAGTGTGAGAGTGAGAGTGAGAGTAGGGGTGAATGTGAATGTGAAAGTTTTCTATATTGAAAAAAGAAAAAAAAGAAAAAATGCACGTTATTTTATTTGTTTATTAGTGTCTTAATATGCAAGTGTGTTTGTGTGTGTGTATGTGGAGTCCATGATTGCATATGTGTGATACTTATTTCAGGTTTTTCTCTTTCCTCTGTCTTTAGTAATTCCCAAGTGAGAGTACTTTGACTGAAGCAGCAAGACTGTACTTCATCTGTAGATTATGGATTTTGGTATATATATTGAATATCCTCCTTTTTTATTGATGATTAATTACTGATTTTTCCAAAACAATTTTTTTTTTTTTTTTTTTTTTTTTTTTTTTTTTTTTTTTTTATTCATTAAAGTATGGAAAATTTCCTACAATTTGGCATTACAGTTTCAGTGATTTTTATTGAAAAATATTGGTTTGGTTCATTGCATATTAAAAATAAAAAAATCTCATGTGGATTTTCTTTATATTATTTTTAGTGAATTTCCATAGGAGATTTTTTTTTATCCATGTTATGGAGAGGTGGCAGTCAAGCTATTATTATTAGCAATATTTGGAAGAAACAAGGAAGGCACAGAAAATCCTCACTAAAATATATTGGAAGAACAAACATAAAACTAAGAATAATACAGTGATACAGTAGTCATGGATGTTCCCTAGTGTTCCACTAAGCCTGTTCTTGGGTTGATACCCCCTATCTATTCACCAACAGATGGTGCCTGTCACTTCTTGTTACAAAATTCACACAGTGAGGAAGCGGCCTGTGCAAGGTCACATGGTGCATGTAAGTACGGGTCTCAGTGCATTTTCTATGAGCCCGGATCTCCACCTACCACCATGCTTGCCATGTGTCTTTGTATCATGTCTTAGGAAGTCTTTTTCATGTTGGTCCATTCAACCTGGCATGAACTGTGGCAAACACCATGACCTGTTGATGTGTTTGCAGTGTACCTTTACCCCATATAATATGTTATGATACCAAACCTTACTTTTTATCATCCTTTTAAAGTTTCTCCTCATGTCATAAGTGATGTTTATGAAATATTGCAGGTTTCAATTTGCCACAAATAGTATGGCATATATTTATATATATAATAGATACATGCTCATGTACAGAATTTCCTTCACTGCACTGTTAGTGGTGAAAACTAGTATAATTAACAGCTTTATTTTATTTCAAACTGTAAAAATTTTATATGCATAGTTTCTTGAATGTATGCCTTTGCTATTGCATATATGTGAATGAATTAATTGATTTTTTCTTTCTATTTTCTAACAATCCAACTAACACACCCATATTTTGCCAGGCCCCAAGCACTCTCTCTGCAAATACGGTCAACAACAATTGTGACATGGCCCAATTAGGAGTATTTTCATGTTGGTCCATTCAACCTGGCATGAACTGTGGCAAACACCATGACCTGTTGATGTGTTTGCAGTGTACCTTTACCCCATATAATATGTTATGATACCAACCTTACTTTTTATCATCCTTTTAAAGTTTCTCCTCATGTCATAAGTGATGTTTATGAAATATTGCAGGTTTCAATTTGCCACAAATAGTATGGCATATATTTATATATATAATAGATACATGCTCATGTACAGAATTTCCTTCACTGCACTGTTAGTGGTGAAAATAGTATAATTAACAGCTTTATTTTATTTCAAACTGTAAAAATTTTATATGCATAGTTTCTTGAATGTATGCCTTTGCTATTGCATATATGTGAATGAATTAATTGATTTTTTCTTTCTATTTTCTAACAATCCAACTAACACACCCATATTTTGCCAGGCCCCAAGCACTCTCTCTGCAAATACGGTCAACAACAATTGTGACATGGCCCCAGACGAAGTGTAGATTGCAGAAGCTACCAGAACTGAGTCCTTCTCATACACAAAGTTGGTGATGTCTGTGTGAATTGTGAAGCGTTTTCACTCATACCTTTGTAAATTTCCTTACATCACATTATAGTCAGTTACTAAGATAAGAGGAGAGTCTTCTTGCAAGCTAGATGTGCCCAAAGCACTTCTTGCTCAAGCATCTCCCTGCTTGGTACACCCCAATGAAGAGTATGGCTCGATGAGCATCTTAATATTTCAGCCATGTGGCAAACATTCTTGAGAAAGGTTGTACTCTATCCTTATCCTTAAGGCTGTTTCTCAAGAGACCAGTGACTGTGGTGCATTGATTGTTTATAGTCATGTGACCCAAGTGAGTGTGAAGGCCTTGTATATAGTGTGTTTTAAGGACTGTCACAAGTCCATTGCTCAGTAGTAACCAACCAGCTGACCCAGCCTAAGCCTAGCCAACTTCCTTCCATTAATATCCTCATTACTGGTTGTTGTATGTTCACTACCCTCTAGGATGCTAGTATCCTTGTTCTGTTGCCCCAACTTAACTAGCTAACAGGACCTCATCAGCATCACATTACTAATGATAACCCTTCAATTATTGTGATCTCGGATGTGATTGTTAACATTAAATATAAGTATATTTAATAGGCAGTCATTACCTGAATCCAATTAATGTGGGAGGGGAAATATCTGCTGTACAAACTATCTGTACAAAATTGTACAATATATAATACTTGTTTCCTTACAAAAGTAGGTAGATAGATAAAACCAAATGATTCAGTACATTCTTGATGTCGCAGGAATTGCTGAATCAAAAATGTTTGATGCACTGGCTCAGCTGAAGTTGCTGGCAGATTTTATTGATCAGTACTACTATCATCATCATCTGTATCATTATTTTTGTTTATATAATCATTAATATTATAAGTTTCATTGTTGATTATTTTTATTATTTTTTATTATTATTTTAAAACAATAATTTTACTTATTTGGCTCAGAGTAGTTCCTATGCAGTGTCCGCTTATTAACACCCACTAGTGAGGTTGAGTGTAGCTTTATCTTCTATAATCAATAGGTTGAACATGTCCATCAGGTTATTGTTGCAGTGAATTACAACTGCAGCTTCTTTTAGCCCAAATTTTGAAGCTTGAAGTTTCTGTATGAAGACCCCCAAAAAGAGAGACAGAGGGGTCTGCAGTAAGCCATATTGTCAGTGTTGGTCAGGCTACCTTGCTCCATTACCATGATTTGACCTGACTCATGTTTCAGGATTTGGGCTCAACTCTTCACTTCCTTCCATTATTCCTTGGTATGAATTTTATACCCAGGACTATTTGGTGATTTAAACTACTATTTATTAATTCTGTATTTGTGTTAGACTAATGCTTCTCAACTATGATGAGAAGAACTTGGAGCAGAGGCACACACCTGGTTTCTTCTGAGTTAACAGAGCCAAATGTTGAATGAAGGGTATTTTATGCTATTACTATTTTCAGATATTTTTAGAAGAAAATTGTATATTCAATGTCTTTGATTTATTACGATGTATAATTTTTTTTTCTTTGTTCCTGTAACCCTGATAATGTAGCTTCATTGCTTTCAAAAGACTCCCTTACATTTTCCTTTGTCTTTGGCCAAGTGTCTTGTCTTGTAATTGTTCCAGTAGAGGTGCTCAAAATTAGCACATATTGTGTTTCTACAGCTTATAATGTCTCGCAGGTGGTAAAGTTTTATTGTTGGGTTCCTAGAGTCACTTGTTGCTTATGCCTGAACAGGGATATTGTTAGTCATTTTGTCCTCTGTAAATTCCTCTTCTCATTCGTAAATGAAATTGTAATGATGGAGCCATAAAATATGTGCAATTGTATAAGACAATAAAAAAGTCAGTGTTTTCTACCTACTTAAGAGGAAATGTCCTTTATCCCTTTTTTTTTCTTTTTTTTTTTTTACTTTAAAATTATTCATTTTGTCATGCAAACTTAGGTAAGCTGTAGATAAGAGAATCCCTTGTTTTGTTGAAACCAAAGCCTTTGTTAAATAGCTGTTGGGATAATATACCAGAGCTATATATTTGATTTCTTTGAAAGTTTTCCTTGTTATCATACAAAGAGGAATATGCAATCTTTTGTGTTTTATGGTTTCCCACTATATGTGAATTTGAAGTAGAAAATTTTGAAAATTGAAAGAGTGCATTTTTTCTGAGGTGATAACATGCTTTGCAACAGTAATTCTCTATTGTTGTGTTCAGGAGTAAGGAGTGGGGTTGTGAATCATTCAACTGAACTCAAAACTTTCTTTTTCAGTTTATTATTATTATTATTATTATTATTATATATATTTTTTTTGGTTACTTAATATGTCTTGTGGTTTTAGCAACAATATGCAAATCTTATTATAAATTTGTAAATTTTAATTTGACACATCCTTCTCAGTAATTTTCAAGTTCAATTAAAATTCAAATATTAAAGTATATTGATGAAAATGATAATTTTGATCATGCCAATTATTAAGCGTTGTTCAGCATTTAAAGAAAATGGTGCTAAGCTGTAATTGTTTTAAATGTAAGCCATAGTAGTATTTCTAAGAATCTTAATTGATATAAAAATCCACAGGGCTTTGTCTCTGTGCCTTAATACAGGGCATGTTTTAGTGCTCTGCAGTTTTCATACCCCACCCCTTACTATTTGCTGCATAACTGATTAAGGACTTATATGTGCCATTTTGATAACTGAAGCTCGAAATATGTAAGGTTTATTCAGCACAAGCCGGGTTTAATATGGAATATTCAAGGAACCCTATATAACTGACCCATAATTTTTTTTGAATGCTTAAATTTTATACCAATGTAGATTGGATAATTTGATTTTTTTTTTTTTCTTTTTATTCTCTTAATGCAACTGTTTTGTTAGCACTATTTATAGTAAAGCAATAAAGTGATTAGTTTGGGTTGTGTAAATGATGATTGTATAAATTCAGATTGAAGTAATTTATTGAAAGAATTATAAAGTTATGTAACTTTCATGCGTTGTATTTGTTTCATTAATATTTAATACTTTATTTACAACTTGGAAATGACTTGTTAGTATGTAGTATTTATTTACAAAATTGTTTGCCAGTAATTTTTAAAAGAATTTACATAGTGTTAACAACTGTACACAATATTTGCTTTTTAAAACAAATTGATTTATAGATTGCATTCATATGACTGTACTGACATCTCCATGAACTAGGTCAGGGCAAAGCGGCCATATTACACAAAAGCAAGCATTGGTCTAATGGCTAGCATATTGCTGTACTTAATGCACAATTTTTGTAATTGTATTGAAAATAAATAGAATTTTCTAGAAATTTACATTTATTATCCCTGTATCTGCAGCTGGTTGTTTAGCCATAAAATGGCTGATCATACCAGTGTCAAAAAATATCTAAGGCCTTTCAAAAAATCTCATTGATTTATAACAGGCCCTATTATGTTTATATAACATACACCAAATTGAACATAAGGACTTTTTTTTTTTTGTTCTTTACACATTATTAGGGATCATTCATAGTTTTCAACAATTCCAAAAGTTTATGGAACCTACCCTTTGATCTACATTTCTGAACACATTTTCATGGGAAGTGTCAGCAAAGACACTTTTTTGCCATCTTTGAAAATGTTGATAATTATGGATGATGACCTATTAACCCAATGCCACTGGGGAAAACGCTGTGCTCATTTTTTAAAATACTTTTTGTGAAATGTCTCTGCTAGTGCTTAGCCTTAACTGATTTCACCTTTCACCTTTCTTGAATTGTCAGGAAAAATAATTTTTTTACTAGTGCTATGAATATTGATGGTGCTATTTTTATTTATAAACATTATAATTACTATGTTATAAACATTAGTAACAACAAAATACGATAACGTAAAATATATTCGTACATCAAAGAAAAGGGTAAACAGGCGAGATAGGCAGTACTTGTAATTGGCTCATTGGTGGTTAACTACAAGTGTAGCCATCTATGTGAAAAACCAATCAAACAAGTAACTCACAGTGGGCATGGCACGTACATACCCTTTGGCATTGGGTTAAAATAGGGAGATCACTCCCTACAGTACTGTTAATATGCCAATTATCTAAAAAACAATAAGAGCAAATTTTCGGATTTTTTTTTTCCCTCTTTTTTTTTAAGAGAAAGCCTAATTAAAACAACACTAGAGAGAGCAGTGTGTTCCATTTCCTTATAAATGAAACTTTTATTTACAAATAATCCTAGGACTGACAGGTACCATTTTATATTTGTTTATCATTTTTGAACTTCCACAAATATGCAAAGTAAAAATAAGCTGGAAGATTTACTTGTTCAACTGTTTCTGAGGATGTTAAGATATTAGACCTAAGAAAAGTAAAGTTATGCATTGCACCATTACTATCTTTCAGTCAATATTAATTTGTACTGTGAGCAGGACTGTCATCCCTAAATTAATTGTTTGTAAATGTAAACTTCCTTCAACAAAGTAGGAATTCATTAAATATTGTATAAACAAAATATAAAATGTGCAGTGATATAACAACGACCACCTATTATTAACAAACCGCCACTTCCTATTAAAATCCTGGTGATGGTGACAAGAGTTCAACATCAGTGTCTTGGATATTTCTTCAGTCACTGCTGTTGTAGCTTCAAGGTTTTGTTCAGTGAAGCTTAGGAGTATCCCTGGAAAGTTTAACATGGTTAAAATTAGATGGGAAAGTTCCTTCATTAACCCAACTGGCATGAAGGGCAAGAATATGTGCCGTGTTTATTGTAATATAAGTTCATTTATTGTCTTTACACATAGATGGCTCTACAAGTGCTTAGTCACCAAGGAATCACTTATTAAACCTACCTACCAAGATTTAATAATCATAATATCAATAATAATATTAACAGTATCAATAACAATGGTATTAAAAATAAAAAACATTTTCCAGCCAATTTGAGGAATTGGGAAATCAAAATTGGTCACTAGAGCATACTGCTAGACTCCTTTCAAGCTGAGCACATCTAGAGCCACCTGCATGTTACAAAATTTACAAAAAAAACTACAGGGGACTTTACATAAATCCATGGTGATTGGGTTAAAAATGGCTGATTTAGTGCCTTTTCATGTCTGGGTTGGAATAATGCCTTGGAGTAAGATTTATACATTGCTTGGTTATCAAGATAATCAAAATACATACACATACTCCAATCTTACTTCATAATTTTCTGACTTTCCTTGATCTCTTGGCCTTGTTGGAAGAGGTAACAATTATTCTGTTTTCTAGCTTCTGTATTTGCTTCTACTGCTGAGAACTCATTCAATGAACTTTGCAATCAACACTGAATTCCTTTAGGTTCTGAGCATATTCACACTGGCTTTCATCTTCACTGTCTAGTTTACATTGCCAGGAAAATGTGTTCACTGTAGTATTGTTTTGTGAAATGTCTCTGCACATAGATGGCTCCATAAGCAGTAAGCGACAATCAGCAGAGCTTGTGATCTAACCTGATTTCATCTTTTGTGAATTTGCAGGATTTTTTTTTTTTTCAGTGATGCTGTTATTTTTATTACAGACATTATAATTATTATAATCAGGGCTGGATTATGACCTTTTGGGGCCCCTAGGCTAATGAAATTATGGGGACCCCTCAGACGGAGCCACCCTCTAACTTGGCTGCACCCGTCTTGAATATTTTTTACTCGTGATATATTTTAGCGACATTTACATAGCTTGAAGTAAACATATTGCAAATTCTTTAAATAAACTAGCATAGCTATCTTTTGTTTGTCAATAATTTTTTTTTATAACCAAGCCCCTCAAGCTTGGGGCCCCCAAGCTTGAAGGGCCCTAAGCTGCAGCCTACACTAGCCTATAGGATAATCCGGAGCTGATTATAATGTAATTGATATTACTAACAGCAATATGAGCTATCAGAAAATATTTCGGAAAAAACAAACAAAAAAACAACAAGGAAAAGGGTAAACAGGTGAGATTGGTAGACCTTGCAATTGGCTCACTGGTGACTTAGTATTACTGGAGCCATCTATATGTAAAGACAATTAATAAACAACTCAAAGTGGGCATGGCACTGGGTTACTTGAATGTACACACAGAATCAACTGATTTCAAAGATTTCATTAATAAAATGGTACATGTTACTGATATTCAAAATTGTGATAAAGGGAGAGGGAAAGGCTGGGAAATGAAAGGAAGGGGGAAGGAAAGAAACGATATATATCGAACACTCACTTTTTAAAGCCAAACATATCCTTTAAGCTTAACTGCTTCTTATCTGTATTTTTCTTGTTTGCACCACTGGGACGTGATAAACCAACTGCCCTTCCTTTATTCTGTGTACTTTTGTTGGACAGAAGTGTCTTATGACTGGGCTGTAAAAAGAATGAATGAATAAAAATTAAAATATAGTGGGCAAGGGCATCAAAATCAACCAACATTAGTCTTGGCAGAAATTCTACTGCCTAGAAGTACAAGTCAATAATATAAATAGCATCAATGATTCTAAATTAGCAGCTAAATATCAAGTCCTGAAAAGGGTGTGCCTAAGATGTTATACATATTTACATAATCCAAGACCTATGAAGTCACATACTGTCAGCTTCAAAGAGAAAGTTTTTTATCAACTACTTCAACTATCTACAGCAGTGGTTCTTAACCTGGGGGCGCCCCTTCTATCTAGGTTCAGTATTTTCCAAAGGGGATGCGAGCCCTTGGGAGACGAGGAGGAGGAGGAGGTGAAGATGAAAACAGTAATTTCTTTAATGATCTTTGTTATTCTCTTACTGAGTGCATGGTCACTGTGACAGATTCATATTCATTAAAAAGAATAAAATACTTAAAATTTTCTTCAAAATATGGGAGGGAATTCTATCTACATATACATGGGAGGCATGGAGGGAAGGACAAATTCCTAAAAGGGAGCATGGTAGATAAAAGGTTAAGAACCACTGATCTACAACATTAACTTGCTCTCTGGCTACATGCATAGCACAGGTGCACATCCAACTATTTTGTAATAATTTACAGAAAGCTTGTGTAAATTGTGGTCCCTTATTATTACTTCTTTAGTGATAATATTTCAGTAATATTTAGGGAAATCCCTTTAATTGCAATCATTAATGCTAGTTTAGAATGCTTATCATCAAAGATAATGCTGTACGTTATAGTAAATATATGCAACAGCTGACTTATTCTGCATATTTTCCAATTATCACTCAAGGGAGGGATAAATGAATACTCTTAAGAATGCCTAAAAGATAATGTGTGTGTGTGTGTGTGGGGGGGGGGGGGGGGGGGGTGAAATCTGATCTACAGGATATCTCTTAACTTAATGTGTTCCATTTTCTAAATAATTATGGTTTCCAGTAGGACTGTCCACACAATTAAATTTTAAGGTACTAAATAACAATAATGGCAATACATACCATGACACTGGTTACTGAGGGAGGACTTGCTACATCTGAATCCTTATTACTCTTGGTTGACATTTCTGGAGTAGGTGTTAGGCCAAATGATTCATTATCTATTGAGCCTACATCACTGACTGCCGAAACTTCAGATACTAAACTGCTCTGAGAAAGTGGCAGTTCCCTTGGATCTGAATTCTGGGACGGACTGACAGCATTTTCTTTACTTTCATCAGTTTCTCTTGTGCTTGGTATTTTAGTGACAGCCTTAAAAGTGTACTTGGTTGATGGGCTGCTTTCTACCTTCACTTTGTCTTTAAATCCAAACTTATCTGTCAGTTTCCCCCACTTGAAGGTACTGTTTTTGTTATTTTTCTGAATGTTGTTTATAACGGGAGACAAAGGTGCTTTAACAAGTTCATCATGAGATTCACTGGGTATTTTTACATCCAATTCTTCTTCTTTTTTAATCTGTAATTCACTCTCTAACTTAATCTTCTGGTTCTCTATTACTTCTCCATCTGTTGCTTGGGGTTCAGGCTTTACTTCTTCCTCACTTTTCTTTTCACCCTGGTTATCTGTGGCACTCGGCACTGCCTTGGCAAAGTACCTGAAAATTATAGGGAATCAGATTACGCTCGTCATCTACAGACTGAAAAACACAGTAAATAGAGTGAATTAGTAACCATAAAATATAGGTCAAGTGTACAAAACCTTTTTCTGTAATGTCACCTACATATTTAACCAATGTAAAAAGCAGTTAGATATGAATAATAATTACATAAATAAAGGTAAAATTGATATTGCTTACCTGCTCTGCACAACAGTGTTTGACTTCTCCAATGATTTCCTTATTTTGCTAAATCTCTTAAGTGCGCTGAAATGTCCTGCAGGTTTAACAGGAGACTTTGCCTTAGCAAATGGATTTTTGGATCTATTGCTATTAGCTGAAGGACTTTCAGTTTTCAGCTCTGGTGACAAATCTCCAACTTCCATTTTTTCTTTTTCTTCCTCAAAATCAAGTCCTTCAGATAAATGATCCAAGGCTGTTTTACCAGCCATGTCTTCATCATCAATGTAACTGTCAACTGGTGCTTCTTCCTTCTTACGTTTAGCAGGCACACCATAGAGATCTTGTAGTTCATCTTCAGTGGGAAAACCATCGTCATCTGGTACTGGTTCTGAGAAATGTAACTTGTAATTAATTCTCCTTATTTTTGAAGGATATGACAGTATTCCTGATTCTGAAGAACATGAAACTGTTTTGAAAGTACTGTTTTGAGAGAGAGAGAGAGAGAGAGAGAGAGAGAGAGAGAGAGAGAGAGAGAGAGAGAGAGAGAGAGAGAGAGAGAGAGAAAGAGAGAGAAAGAGAGAGAAAGAGAGAGAAAGAGAGAGAAAGAGAGAGAGAGAGAGAGAGAGAGAGAGAGAGAGAGAGAGAGAGAGAGAGAGAAAGAGAAAGAGAAAGAGAGAGAGAGAGAAAGAGACAGACAGAGACAGAGAGAAAGAGACAGACAGAGACAGAAAGAAAGAGACAGACAGAGACAGAGAGAAAGAGACAGGCAGAGACAGAGAGAAAGAGACAGGCAGAGACAGAGAGAAAGAGACAGGCAGAGACAGAGAGAAAGAGACAGGCAGAGACAGAGACAGACAGGCAGAGACAGAGAGAAAGAGAGAAACATTACCTGGTTTAAATTTTCTCTTTAGGACTGGAGTAGAAGACACTAATAATTCCTTCCCAAGGGTGCTCTGCTTCTCCGAGCCGCCCAAGATACTCGGCACTGCAGGAACCACCTTGGATGGGGTGAAGTCTCTACTCCATATGCTGCGATGGGCGGTACAGATGTCCCCGCGCTTATTCCATCCTGATGACTTTGGCTCTGGGGGCTTGATAATAGAAGATGATAATGATGATGATGATGGAAAAAAAAAGAGAAAAAGAAAAGAAAAAGAAAAAGAAAAAAAAGGAGCTTGATAATAGAAGATGATAATGATGATGATGATGGGGAAAAAAAAAAAAAAAAAAAAAAAAAAAAAAAAAAAAAAAAAAAAAAAAAAAAAAAAGACAAATAGAACACATGGTTCATATCTAAATATCTATGCATCTGTATTTAAACTTCATTGCAAACACACAGCAACTGATACAGGGAATGACAGACAAAGAGAAAGAAAGAGAGAGAGAGAGAGAGAGAGAGAGAGAGAGAGAGAGAAGAGAGAGAAAGAGAGAAAGAGAGGAGAGAGAGAGAGAAAGAGAAAGAGAGAAGAGAGAGAGAGAGAGAGAGAGAGAGAGAGAGAGAGAGAGAGAGAGAGAGAGAGAGAGAGAGAGAGAGAGAGAGAGAGAGAGAGAGAGAAGAGAGAGAGAGAAAGAGAGAAAGAGAGAAGAGAAAGAGAAAGAGTGAAAGAGTGAAAGAGAAAGAGAGAGAGAGAGAGAGAGAGAGAGAGAGAGAGAGAGAGAGAGAGAGAGAGAGAGAGAGAGAGAGAGAGAGAGAGAAAGAGAGAGAGAGAGAAAGAGAGAGAGAGAGAAAGAGAGAGAGAGAGAAAGAGAGAGAGAGAGAAAGAGAGAGAGAAAGAGAGAAAGAGAGAAGAGAGAGAGAGAGAGAGAGAGAAAGAGGTAAAGAGAGAGAGAAAGAGAAAGAGAGAAACTACTACAACACTCTACTTACAACATATGTCTCAGGAGAGAAGTCATCCACCTTCTCTCCTGACTGAACATTCACATTTCCCAATGCTATTTGCAGAGCTCTCTCGTGCCCTACAAACCTGCCTGCGTAGGGATAATCTTCAGGTCCCTTGCCCTCGGGATACTCCTGGAGGGGACGAAGGATGCGCTCCACTGGGTCGAACACCAGCTGATAGAGGAATGTATTTTTGGCTTGCATGAATCCATCTCGATATTCTTTGGTCACTTCTAGGTGGGGCATTTTCAGGTAAGACGGTAGCTTGCATAAAACCTGCCAAAACAAAGCAGTAAATTTTGTGAGGATCACAATACTTCCATATTTTCTAGCTAAGAACACAGTATAAAAGTTTAAAAAAAGGATATTTAATTACCATCAGATTAAGATATCAAGATATACATGAAATGAAGGAATAACTATAATAAGAAAGGGAACAATATGCCATGAAGTTTAGAGGTTAGAATCCTAGTTGGAGAAAAAAAAGAAAAAGAAAAAAACTTCTAGGTGGGGCATTTTCAGGTAAGACGGTAGCTTGCATAAAACCTGCCAAAACAAAGCAGTAAATTTTGTGAGGATCACAATACTTCCATATTTTCTAGCTAAGAGCACAGTATAAAAGTTTAAAAAAAGGATATTTAATTACCATCAGATTAAGATATCAAGATATACATGAAATGAAGGAATAACTATAATAAGAAAGGGAACAATATGCCATGAAGTTTAGAGGTTAGAATCCTAGTTGGAGAAAAAAAAAAAAGAAGATAAAAAAAAAAAAAAAAAAAAAAAAAAAAAAAAAAAAAAAATCAAATTAGAAAAGAACAAGAATAAATAACAGATAGAAACTCTATGTAACAAGCAATGAGGTAGAAGGTGGAAAACCAATAACCCAGTAGTTTTCCACAATGGGTTAAAATGAGATAATTTCTTGATTCAATCATTCTCCATTCATAAGAATTAAACATTAATTGATTAACAAAATGTCAGCTTATTATTTCCTGAGTTAATGTGGCTGTTTCTTTATTTATATTTTTGTCTCTACTATAAAGTTTATATTTGTGTTCAGACAGTAGGTGAGTTTTATAGGTAAAATTCAAATTGAATGTAAATTGTATATGACCAAATACCTATGATAAACATAAAAAATAAACTCTTATTTATTACTTTTCAGGTAAATGGAGACATAAATCATGTCCTACTTTCATAAAATAAATAGCAAGAAAAACGGTTATAGAACCTGAGTCTTTTATTTCTTCCTAACACTACTCTCAATTCTAAAATCCCCAATAAAAGACAGATCAGACCACCTGAGTATATTCTACCATAGAGTATACACCTCTAACTTACATTATGTACATCTGGATTTGTGGTAATACTGAAGAACTTGCAAGCCTTGGCAAGTCCAATGCCATGCAATGAGGGGAGGTAGTCACAACCTGAGAGGATGCACATGTTTACAAACTTGTCAAAAGTGAACTTGTCTCGTGGCATGCTCATGGACACATGCAGCTGTTCTTGCTCCACCAAGATACCTCCTCCATTATTGTCCATCTTGAACAGAATCTGGAAGAGGAAATATCTAGCTAGTGATTGACAAAATATTTTTATTCACTTTGAATTGAACATCTGTAAACAGATGCAGAAGCTTATTAGCTAATCTGGCTGCACTGAAAATATAGTAACTCTTCTTGTGGAACATAAAGAAAAAAAGAACTACCAAAATATTAGTTTTGTAAAAGGAAATTCAGCTTTAAATAGTGTAGAAAATCAATCAATAACAATTATTGAATTATCTAAAAAGGAAAAATTTACATATCTATAACAGAAAATCACATTCTATCAGAACTTTGGGAAAACTACAGTAAAATAATCACATTTTATAATATATGCATTTAAAAGCTGTTACAGACCAAGAATGCATAACTGAAGAGTGTGAAGAATGAGCCATTTTAATGAATCCACTGATGCCAGGAGAGTGATGTTTGATGTAGTAGTGTTTTGTGAAATGCATCTACATATAGATGGCTCCACAAGTGCTTAGCCACCAAGGAGTCAATCAGTAGTGTATATGCCCTCACCTTGTAAACAGCTGAGATAGGTCGAACCAGTGATTGGCTCACTGGTGAATAAGTACTTATGGAACCATCTACGCATAAATACAAATAATAAAGTAAACTCACTGTGGGCATGGCATGCCTACATGCCATCCCTAGTGGTGTTGGGCTAATTATAAAATAAAAAGAAGAAAACATAGGAATGAAAAAAAAAAAATCATAAAAGAAGAAGAAGAAGAAGAAAAAAAAAATATATATATATTATCTTAGTTTCATTAAGCAACCCTATTTATATCTAAAAATCACTTAACTCTAAAGCCATCAGCAACAAAGCCCCCTCTAATTATTCCTAAGTGAAACCAATGACATTCTAAGTAAGAATGGTACACTCAGTACATTTTTGTGTTGACAGACTTCCAGAAAATATCAAACGAGAAAAAAACCCCAGCCACTCCATTTAGTGACTTCAAGAGGGAAATAAAAGTACTGCAGCTCATGCTAACATTTAAAGAAATACCACACTTAATGGTAAACAATGAATTCCAATTTCCAAGTTCCTTGTTTATTCTGATGACTCATAGCTTGCTTACTTTATTTAACTTGAGAATAACTGGATTCACACATACGAACTAGTATATGGGAAATATTTTTTGTTTTTTAATATTGGGTTGATCGTACTTCCTTTAAGTTGCTATTACAGACTGACTTTCCAAGTTCATTATCTATATTCAATATACATTTTGAATGAAAGCAAAAAATGAAGTGAGTGACCTTTACTAATATATGTATGGCCATGCCCCTATTCCTGTAAATAAAACAAATTTAAATATTCTAAAATCAAACATGCTGGATAAACTGCACACTAAATACAAGCATTTTCTATTATTCTTTTCTTGAGAAGGGGAAGTTATTCATCAAGAAACCTAGGTTATAATTATGAACATCAGTTATTAAATATACTCGTATTGCTCCCATTTTAGTGTGAGAGGATATAGGCTGGGCATGGGGTACCAAAACACATGCGTATCAATCACATCAATCATAATGTCCAGCCATTTCAAAGCTACCTTATTTTATGAGAACGATCTTAGTTCTGATTGTGGAAACTCATAATTTGTCCAGTCACATACTTTCTTGCAGCCGAAGAGGATCAGATCAGAATCTTCTGTTATAATAAGCTGAGCAATGCCACTCAGGTTCAGGTAAGCTAGCTGTGAGTCTGCTTCATATGGGGCCACTGCAAATATAATGAAAAATATCTAATATAAGCCCAATTCTTATATAAAACATACTATAGAGACATATTAATGCACAGAAACTGAAAGGTAAATAAAAATAGATGACATGGTGAAATACATCAACTCTGTCTTTGACAGAAACAATAAAGTATGAGGATAATTATTAATAACAGGATGACCATGTGATGACCAAGTCTTTTGCCAGAGGCTAAAAAAGATTTTGCATTTCATTTTATGGCAAGAAAGAGCTTGGATGAGTTGCTTGGACATCATGGTCCAATTGTTAATAACTGTCAATTTACATAAAATATGTCAAACTTCCTTACTTATTATTTCAAACAAAGACAAAACTAAACAGAAAAAGGCACAAGATTACCTATAACATCTACATTTCTAGCACGGCAAGCTTTGATGGTATCAGCTGCCATTTCTGACGTGATGTCAACACATCGCTGGAAACATTCTCGTGCCTCTTTTGCCTTCCCTTCACGTAAGAGTTCTTTGGCCTTCTTGCGATTTTTTTCACGGTTCCTGAAGGTATAGAAATGGTCAAGTATAACTTTCTATACTGTGTAATTAATTGCTATAAATGTACATTTATGCATATTCATCACAGGAACACTTACTTGCATATAAACATGTACATGCAAACACAAGCACAGACTTGCACACCCACATGCAGTGAATAATGCAGTTAACTTACTCTCTTCTTTTTTTCTCAGTGATGGCTTTTGAAGGAAGATGGCATCCATCAAACACTAGGATTGGCTTAATATCATAGCTCAGGAGCTGGTTGACCTGTTTCATAACATACAACACATATCTGAAAAGTAGATATGATATATTATGCAGTACTTTCAAGGGTAAAATAGTATAGCAGTACATTTAGCCAACTTTGCAACACTTCTGGAACTCCAAACATGAATAAAATCTATCTGGGAAGATAAATAAAAAAACAGGAAAGGGAAACCTATAAAACATAACCCATACACTCTGTTTTTATTAAAAAAAAAAAAAAAAAAAAAAAAAAATCAATAATTTATTTGTATCTTCCTTAACTCTTACCAAACAATTCCCTTTGGTACATGATGGAACGATAAGGAAAAAAAGGAGCAAAAAATAAATAAATAAATATAATAAAAGTCAAGAAACAGAAAAAAGAAAAGAAAAGAAAAGAAAACCTATCACTCCTTCCCTCGGGCAGTGCCCAAAGAGCACACCCAGTCACAGCAACTTAGATTGTTGAATAAATTTTGTGACATAGAATTGGGGGCATAGTCTCTGGCGAGTGGATTTGTACTGTAAAGCATTACCTGTTTGACATCATTCTTTGCCTATGCAGATTAATTTCTGTTATCTGGTAGTGTAGATTTTTCCTCTCTGTGGCAGTTAGATATTCCCTATATAGTGCAGTCATTATGTAAATATACATATTATCACTATCAACTAAACATTGAGTATCAAGTCAACTGCATATTATATGAACTCTACCCACCCCATCCCAAAAATGAATGAAAAAAATAGTCTCCCAGGCCTGACAGGTGATGAGAGGTTGCTAATTATAGTGTTCCAAAGACTGATGAGAGAGAAAGAGAGAAAAAGAGAAAGAAAGAAAGAAAGAAAAAAAAATGGATTCCAACAAAGTTTGGTATGATTCATATTTAACGTCAATGGGTATCATAATAAAATACGTCAGCTTTAATTCCAGTTATGACACAATAGACTGACGAGTGCAAATCACAGGTTCATAACGAAAGCGAACATTGGGATCGTCCCAATGACACCAAAATAACTGAGGATTTTTAAATCTCGTCTATCGAAACCCTGGTATTCAAACATGATTTTCTCTTTCCAGCATTAACAAAAGGGCGACTTACCCATCCGTTGGTTCTCCACGAACAAGTTTATCTGCGCAAGAGAAAGCCCCCTTATGCAGCCAGCAGTAGGCATCCACGGCCACAGTTTGACCCTTAAAGTCACGGAGATTCGCTGCTCTTGAAGCCTTTTTAAGGAACGGAAGTAAGCCCTGGATACCCATTTTGTCCTCACGCGAAAGGGTTTCCTAATATATATCGTGTTAGAGGGTTCATTTACACTTTCTCATCGCGGTAGCACCATTTCCCTCGAGCCTACAGTTGTGCCGAAGTCTTGAGTGTTTACGAGCAAGTGGCGCGCAAAGGGATGGTGAATATAAAGAACAGATGATCCCTTCCTCATTGCTCACAATATATATTGCTTTTTTGTTGAATAGCTATGTTATCGAATATTGTGTATACTATATTTGAATTAAATATTTCTTCATTTCAAACAAAAGAAGCTAATGATACCCAATTCTATCTTTTACATAACTTGCGAATTAATTATAGGACCATCATATTAAATGGAAAACGTGTTTATTGGCTATGTATATATATATTGTTTTAGAGTTTATAACACTGTGCTCTGAATAGGAAAATATCTAATGTGACCAGATGTCCATGGGTTTCTCTTCGTCAGCAGACGATATTTTCGTCTTCAGTTTCGGTAAATCCCATGATATATATATATATATATATATATATATATATATATATATATATATACATTGTATTATGTATATATGTATATATGTATATATGTATATATGTATATATGTATATATGTATATATGTATATATGTATATATATATATATATATATATATATATATATATATATATATATATATATATATATATATATATATATAAAATGTTATGGAGCCTAATTTCAGCAAGGCAAACTTGAAAGTTATGTCATATGGAAGTTACCGCTATCTTCAAACATATCTGCGCTCTATAAGATACAGCTACGTATATAGTTCTATGTGGTAGGCACTTAGGAACACTTGAATAGTAATATGATAGAGAACTTCAGTTCAAAATTATTTCAAATATGCTGCATTATAGCACTGTACAAAACAATTGTGAACATGAACATGATCAAACGTGATAGAAAGGATTTCAAACATGTTTTCTTACCATACAAAACAAAACTGTTACATGCATTTTTCTATATTGCAACTGAGAACATGAGCAAAATTGATATATAATTATTATTATCATTATTACTTTAGCAACATTAAAATTGATTTATCATTATTACTTTAGCAAAAATATAATTGATATATTATTATTATTACCATTATTACTTTAGCATACACACACACACACACACACACACACACACACACACACACACACATATATATATATATGTATATATATATATATATATATATATATATATATATATATATATATATGTATATATTTATATATATAATGTGTGCGCATATATAAATATAATGGTGATCATTTTCACTATCTTCACTTTTTAAAATCGGATCTTTTATTTGTATCACTGAAAAAAACTGCTCATTCCTATAATCATAATCAAATCAATATGCTACTGTGACTGATGCTTGATCGAGAAAAAAAACAAATGGCAACTCTGCCACCCACGGGTCAACAACCCTCCACCGGTGAAAGTTGCGGTTTCGTCGAACATACTATTCGGCAAATCTCGGTGCACGATTCGAAACGGTTCTATACAATTAGGCTTAAGTATACCGGTGGCCAACAATATCAATTCGAAACAGTCAGTTTTTGCCTTAAATTTATATTTTTATTAACTTTATCTAGGCGAAAAGCTGATACACGGTGTCCACTTCCTCACTTTAGGCCTCACTGCTTCTGCACACTCGTGATATTGACCCAATGGATATATGTACTTTTATCATTACATACAAGTACAGTTAGTCACAAAGCATCACCCTTTTAAAACGAAACTCGGAAAATTAGGAACTCTACATTTAGATTTGTTGTGTCTATTAAATAAACATCAACATCTGTAGACATAATATAGACGGCTCTTTTACCAGGGTTGCAATTACGTCACCGCTTCTGACGTCAAGCTTACGTTCCTAGAGACGCCTTGTGTTGTATTCTGAGGTAGATGAACCAGTCTTTGATTCTTTAAGGGGAACTTGGTGTTTTATGATGCTTATGGCTATGATAAAAGTACAAACTGAGTTTAAAATGACAGAATAATTAATTAACTGGTGATCTGCATTGTTAGTGTCCTGGACAAACTTTTCTTTTTCAGTGAATCATTAGAGATCTGGGAACAGGTGACTGCCTCTGATCCAATCTGTTCACAACGACTGTACTGCCATGATGCCGAGTAATGTGGTTCTCGATCAAGCACAAACACATATGCATATGTATATGTGGGGATTACAACACACACGTACCACACACACACACACACACACACACACACACACACACACACACACACACACACACACACACACACACACACACACACACACACACACACACACACACAGTGTGTAAGTATGATTATTAGTGTTATTGTCCTCACTATACCCACCCACACCTTACAAACAAATTGCCTTCTTTAAAATTCAAAGTTTACGGCACTCAACGAACACACGCTACTTACTCTATATTACAAAACATTTCGCTGTCAATTATTGTTTTGCAATATAACAAACATGAAGTCACACTGAG